GAAGGGTACATCTGGCACCTAGGGTGTGGAGACCAGGGTAGGAGAGGGGATGTGAGGTCCCAGATCAGCCCACCAGATCCTGAGAGCAAGGAGGGCACTGGTCCTATGACCCTAGTGGCTTTTTCCGCCTCACCTGTGGAAGCAGAGCACCTGGGCAGAGCCCTCTCTTTCTGGTGTGGGTGCTTCCGGTCAAAAAAGGAAGAAACTATGAATCCTGGTCAGCAGCCACCACCAGCCAGACGCTCCCCAGCCCCCAGGGCCAAGGCACCAGAGTTCATCTCTCTCAGTGCTCGTGTGCCAGTGGAGGAACGCCTTGTAAATGTGGAAAACTATTCGCCCACATCTCCAGTTTCATTCAACTCCAGAGCTACACTGGCAGAAAGCCCTGTGAGTGCACCAAACATGGGCCATTCTTTAGCCAAAGTTCCAGCCTTAATGTACAGAGTTCACCCTAGAAAAAGCCTTATAACTGTAGTGACTGTGGAAAATACATTAGCCAAAGTTCCTGCCTCATTAACTTTCCAAGCGTTCACACTGAACAAAGACCTTATGAGTGCAGTGAATGTAGGAAAGCCTTCAGCCTAAGCCTTCACCTTACCTGGCACCAGAAAGTTCACGTGGAGCAAACCCATAAATGTGCAGGGCATGTGCTGTTCCCTTGTTCACTATGAAATTAGAGGAGAGCCTTTGTGAGGGATACGTCTTCCTGGAATAGAACCTTACACCTGAACATGCACAACAGGGAGATTCCCCCAAGTTCCAGTCATGTGGCAAGCTTCTGGAACTGTATTGCACTGTCTAAGCTGTCGGGGGCGCCTGCCAAAATTATGTCACTGCTGGCTTCTATGATGCAAATCATCTCAGCCCTGCCACCTGATAGGTCCCCATAACTTTTGAATAAGGGCCTGGCATTTTTATTTTACATAAAACATGCAAGTAGTCTTGCCTTTGGCCATCTGCCTTCTAAGACATGACTTGAGTCTCCTAGTCTTTAAAAGAACTTACTTTTGACATGCAACCAAAGGCTGTTACTCTACTGGTTACATTGGTTGCCACCAAACCTCTTTGCTTCACCTGCCCAGGTAAACACTGCTGTGTTCTGGTATAACTTTCCTGTCCCTGCACAAAACTCCTTCCCCAAACCCTGCAAGACCCAAACTTAGTGTCAACACAGACAGAGGCAGTAAGTTCTCAATAAATGCTTGTCATTGATAGGCTGATTTATTGGGCTTTCATAAGTGATCATCTGACCCCGAACTATTTAAAGTAGCCATTCTGCATCCATTCATTCACACTTGCTCCCCAGTTATGCTCATTTGGCTTGGACTTAATTTAGTTCTCTATCCTAGTTTATTTAGGTGATGTATGCTCAGTTAGTACCCCTAAAATGTTTATCCTCCCACACAGTTAAGAGTTTCTGAATCATGTCTATAACTTTCTCATGTCCAGCAGAGAGCCTTCTGTGGATGGATGTTAGTAGATGTTTGACAGTAGTCAATTGGTTTTGCTTTTGCTAACATATAAAGGAGGTATGGTAGAATAGAAGGGACAGACTGAAGTCAAAGGTGTCTGGGTTAGATCTTGCTATTATTAGCTGATCGAAGGTTCTGTTTCCTCATCAATAAAAACAATAATCAAAAGGCTTCCCTGGCTTTTCCTGGGAGCCACCAGGGTGAGAGGAGTACAGCCTCCTCTCCACACCATCGCATGTGCTCGTCCACTGGTGGCAGTGCACTCTGAAAAGGGGGAGTCACCTGGCAGAAATGTCACTTTTCCTGCTGTGTTCTAGGCTCCTGTTTGACAAGATATTGTGAACTATGTTCACACCAACTTGTGCAAAAACAATAGACAGTCCTGTATTATCAACGAGTTGGCATGTCATCAAACCACTGCTGAGTCTTGGGTACTGGTAGAGCTGGTTTGAATCTCCAGAGTTCAAGGTGGTAGGACTCATCCTTCCAGCCAGGGCACTTTTGGAAATGCATCCTGGGGGCCGCATGTTTGCACCAACCAAAACCTGGTGCTGTTAGTACCACACAAGTGAACCAGTGCAGAAGCGATATGCCATCTGCTCTGCTCAGCTGCCCCAGCTGAACCAGCACTGGTCATGTCTAAAGATCATCGTACTGAGGAAGTTCCTGAATACCCTTTGGTGGTTGAAGATAAAGTTGAAGGCTATAGGAAAATCAAGGAGGCTGTTTTGCTTCTTAAGAAACCTAGGACCTAGAATGATACCACAAGAATCTATGCCTCTCAGTGAATGAGAGCTGGCAAGGGCAAAATGAGAAACTGTCATCATACCTAGCACGTGGGACCTGGTACCACCTATGTAAGGAGGACAACAGTACCATCAAAGCCTTCAGAAGCGTCTCTGGAATTACTCTGGTTAACATAAGCAAGCTGAGCATTCTGAAACTTGCTCCTAGTGGGCGCGTGGGCTGTGTCTGCATTTGGACTGAAAGTGCTTTCACAACTTAGATGATCTGTGCAGCCCTTGGCGTAGAGCTGCCTCCCTCCAGAGTAACTACAACTTTCATGTGCTTGTAATGCTCAGTACCAACCTTGGCAGGATCTTGAAAAGCCCAGAGATCCAAAGAGCCCTCCAAGTACCACACAGTTAGATTCACTGCCGAATCCTGAATAAGAATTCTCTAGGCTCAGGGTGGATAAAACTGCAGCAGCACTAGAAGCCAAATCGAATAAGAGGTTCCACACAAGAAGCCCATGGAAGAGAAGGAAGGAAAGAAGGCTGCTGATGGTACAAAGCCGAAGCCTTTGGCAGGAAAAAAGGCTGCAGTTACCAAAAAATCATTGGTTGAGAAGCCAGCAGAAATCTACCACAGAATAAAAGAAGCCTGATGCATAAACTTAAATTTGTTTATTCCATAAAGGTCAAATCACTTTGGACAGATAATTCTGAATAAAAATGTGATCAGAGTCAGTGAGAAACATGTAAAAAAAAAAAGCTTCCCTGTGTGGTTGGTGTGAAGAATGAGATAATATATGCAAAGGAGCATAGCCTGAGACCCTTGGTGTTCATTTTCCCCTCCATCTTCTAAAGAAGCAACATCAGTCGTTCCTGTAGCACTGCTCTTTCACATTTGGTTCAGAAAGATTCTGAACCTTATTTACGTAACTGACACTTTACAAAGGCCTGATTGTCTCAGGAAGCACAAACAGGTACGATCGATCATTCCTTCACCGTAAAATACTACAATTAGCTTACTATTTAAGATCTAATACCCATCTCCCCACTAAGAAAACTAATTCAATGCTTTAAGTTACTTGGCCAACAAGCATTAATGATTAACGATTCAACAAGCTAATGATTCAACATTTTCTCCTCGTTGCTAAACATGTAAGTACCAGGTATGGAGTTGGAACAAAACAGGACAGATCTCTGCTGCTGCGGTTTGCAAAGTCACCCTGAAGGGACGCGTTCTAGAAGAGACCCTCAAGCCAGCGCCCTGCAGCCACTGCATTTATTCAGTCAGGCACGAGATCAAAACTTGTTTGTCTGTACTTGAAAAATAACTAAATAAAATTAAAAAAAAAACTTGTTTGTCAAATGAATAATGTCAAGTTCTGCTATATCGCTATCAAACATTTGTTCCTAATTTTTAGTGTATGGATAGGCTACGGTGAAACATACAACAGGCAAAATAAGGTAGAAATCATCATGAACATTTTCCTTTGCTGTACCAAGAAATATTTAAGAAGAAGGAAAAGAGACAAGTATTGTTTTAGATTAAATCAAAAGGATTCGAATAGATAGTATACTTTTTCAAAGATTCTTCACATTAATTTTGCAGACATCTAGAATTTGTCGACTAAAAAAAATTTCCAAGCATTCATTGATTCTTATACAGTCACATAATTAATGTTGGCAGGTCTAGAAGCCAAATAAACAGTTCAATTTTGAAGTGTTTAATGCACATACTTTATTAAAATGGTATTTATACACTGAGATATGTGATTTTAGTCTATTCAGCCACTCAATATATACATTTAAAACAATGCTCAAAGCAGCAATTATCCCCAGCTCACTAAAGGAAGTGTGATATACCCTAGTAGCACTTTGGTAAATTATAAAACAAATGTGAACCAGGACACTTCATCGGAGAGTAAATTCATTTTGGACATATCATGCTGCTCTCTGACATACTAGAAGCCGGTGGCACATGAGTCATTGTTGGAGGTGGAGGAGCTCCATGGTTTCACAGCCCAGAATACTCACTACCACCTACCACCCAACAGGAGCTGCCAGGGCCAAGTGCTCTCACTCCAGACCCCAGTGCAGAAGACAGGGAGTCACAATTCAGCTGCTTGTCTCTGCTGAAATCATCCAGATAAGTGAATCTAATGCAATAAAATGTAACCCAACCAAAGGTGCATGTCAATTTTCAGACATGGGTATGTGAACAATTGAGGTGCTAAAGGAAAATACATGCTGAACTGTTAAATACTAAACTTTAACCATCCCTTTCCACCACCCTGCTCTGAAGCATTTTCTTACTGTCCTAATACCATGGAATTAAATTTTTGTCCATTTCTAGAGAGAAAACCAAATGTCCTGTCTGATACTTAAAAGTTAGCATAGATCTACACATTCTGTGCCAAGATTCTTAAAAAAAAGTCAAATTCCACTGTGAAAAAATAATTTCTATTTAGATTATGTCCTAGTGATTCTTCAAAGTAATTTTTTAAAAGGCTAGATCTCAAGATAAGTTCATTATTATAGAGTATAATGATTCAAAACTGATCCCTCCAAAACTATGTTTTTTTTTTAAAAAAAAATGCAGACTCTGAAGCACTTAAGTACAAAGATCTGTAAAAAATGAACAGCTGATGAAAAGAAGGACAGCATTTACTTTTGAATATATAAGGTACTTAACTTGTGAAAAATAACAAATTTCAAGATCATTTGCTGGCAACTAGTTTGGCAACACATTTTACAGAGATGATCTATATGCTACATATAAATGAAAGGCAAACTTAAATAGAAGTGACTGAAATTTAATTACATTAGTATAATTTATGCCATACCTAAATCTACATGATAATAGCCACATGGCAAATTTAGTTATAGCTAAACAAAACTATATAGGTCCTTTTATTCACTACCATTTGTATAATACCCAATAGTAGACTTAGAAGCCTAGTACACTGATGTTAATCTTTTATGGAAGAAAACAATCTGCAAGAAAACAATCTGCAAGATAACTGACACGGTGGCTTGGAAATCAAACACAAGTATGTTTTACTTGTGTCAAAGGTAACTGGTTTTGCATTTTACAAACTTTTGAGGTAAAGGAGAGCAATGCCTGGTCAACACCTACACACCCTACAAATTTCTCTTGTCAAAACTGGCTATCCACCTTAACACATCAGTGACTCTTAGACCTTTGAACTTGATAACATCACTACCACCCTTAGTTTTTAAAGTAAAAGAGGAATGGCAATGTGAAGAATTCAAAGAAAAATGAAACTTACACCTTTAAGTATCATTTCTGCTTCAGAGTTTTTGTTTGCCTGTTTGGAAAGTCTCCATACTCCTAAATGTAGCTTCCATATTTATGTTCCAGGACCTGACTCAGAAAGAAGGAGGAAGTTTTCCAGCTTTCCTGGTCTACCTTTGGGTCCTCACTTTTCAGATAACAAATAGGAGACTATATTCTCTCCTGTAATATTTTTCTGCGTTTCACCAAACTTTCTTGAAAAAAATTGAAATATTTCTTTACTATGCCCCCTGACCAAAGAGCAAGTCCTAATTAATACAAGCTAGAAAACTCAAGATTTATTCTCTTCCATTAGCAAAAAGTGAGAAAATGTGAACATATATCTTGAGCCCTCTTCCTTCAAATAAGCATTTAGATAAAACTATCAGAAAAAAAGTCAACCCTGAAAACTGAGAGTTGAAGATATATAGCATATACCAAATTTGTCTTTTTGGCTTTTCTTCTGCAACAAAACTCCATGTCATTCTGAACATACGGTGTTTTTCTCGCATCCTCTTTTATATGCAAATTACTATGTAACAATACAGCTTCAACAGGCAGGTTCTGTTCCTGGTTTTCCACATAAGTCACCCACCATAAAATATCTCCTGAAGCCATTCTTAACGATTCTTCATCTGTCGATAACCTTTGGTTCACCACTATCACACTGCATCCAGTTTGTCAAGAGCCCTTAGGTATACACATATAGATAATTTAAAGCTAACTAATGTAGGAGCTATTCAGCATTGTTCCCTTTAAATTTTATGTTACTCCAAAATATACACATATACATACACTCACACATATAACAAATTTACACTGTCTGCAAAAGTAAACTGCAGACATAATTCCAAACACAGATTTAGAGATTCACATTTTAACAGCAAACTTATATGCAAATATAAGGAGTATAGTTTTATACTCCTAAATTACATAGCAAGCTGAAATATAGAATGTTTTAGACTTATCCTTTTTTATGAGTCTTAGAAACAGGCAAAAAAGTAGACATGAACTTCAAGCAGTATCCCTCCATATGATATTATTACTGACAAATTACCCAACTTGCTTACTCTATACAAAAGTGATATAAACATACTACGTACATGAGTTAGAGACAACAAATGAAAGTTTACACAAGATGCTTGATACCACTGGTATTTCACTTTGTATAGCTTTGATCAAAAGGACTCTCAGCCTATGCATTCTCTTCTCATCTGAAGGAATAGTCATATGTCTATAGCTTCCTTAGCTACAGAATAGAAATGAATTGGGGAAAGGGAGGAACCTGCTCACAGAGTTGAAATATACCATTTATAAATATGTATATAATTTAGCAGTATCATATTATCTGAATTAATTTCTTTTGCATTGGTACATTTATCAGTTAAATGGTCCAGGATACAAAATACAATAACAGTGAACTCAGTTTTCACAATTATTCCTTGTTATAGTTATTAAAAATTAAAACACCTGCTGATAACACATTGAGTAACTTTTAAAACACTACTTTAAAAAAACTTGGAGAACCTGTTCAAATGGATAAACAAAAATGATCAAAAGAAGCTCAGAGCTGCCTAAAAGTTTTTAAAATTAGAAATTTAACATCAGCAAGTATATCAAAACCACTTCTCATATGCTCACTCAAAGTAGAGACTCTCAATAGCTGTAATTACACATATATTTATACTGAGTATGTACAGGTGAACATAAATGTGATGGGCATTTGTGAAAAACTACAACATGAATGGTTTCTAGGTTGACGCTGCTTGTGTACTAACCTAGTGAGTCACAGGGTCACTCTGGTACCGTTGACCTTTTGATCTGATCAGTTTCTGATATACCTGGTGAAAAACTGTTGCACAGAAACTCAAAAGTGCCAGCAAGTAATCAGGCCCATCGTCCACTGGAGGCAAAGCTTCTGCTGAAGGAAAAGTTGATTTCGAAATTCTTGTATTTTCCCCAAGCACCAAAAGGCACTACTATTACAGTACTGTTATCTTCAGCACCATACTGTATCGCCTGCAAGGTTTGGCAGGAGGAAAGAGAAAAACACTGGAAATCAGAGTCTGCACAAAGAGAGACCATCCTTCCTCTGGAAAGTCAAACTGACTTAACATAGTTACTAACCCAATTGTGTCACAGTGGTTTGTGATTCTTTCACCATGTGTCAGTGCCCAGTTTATAAGATTGCAGATGACCCAACACAACCATAGAACAGTACTCCGCTGCAGCAATTTCGGCAATAGAAACACCCATAGACTAAGATATAAGATACGCAGCTCCTGAAGAAGAAAATACCTATAGAACATTTAGCATAGGGACTAATACATGGTAAAGAATTACAAGGCATTAGTCCTTACCCAGCCATTCTGCTTTATAGGTAAATAATTTCTCATTTCTGCTTAGAAATTTAGTCTAAAGAAATAATAACCTAAGGAAGTTGCTGTGTATAAAGATATAACTATGAGAAAGTTCATGTCCTGGCTGGTGTGGCTCAGTGTATTGAATACTGGCCTGCAAAGCAAGGGTCACTGGTTTAGTTCCTAGCCAGGGCACATGCCTGGGTTGCAGGCCAGGTCCCCAATAGGGGGCATGTGAGAGGCAGCCACACATTGATGTTTCTCTCCCTCTCTTTCTCTCTCCCTTACCAGTAAAAATAAACAAATAAAATCTTTAAAACAAATAAAGTTCATTATACCCTACAAAATGAAAAAGGGGCATAAACTAAATTTCCAAACAACAGATGAGATGGTCAGCATTGTAGTACTTGGGATTATATTGAACAGCAAAATGTATTGCAAAAGACCTCACAGCCTCGAGCTAAAACTGTGAAAAAAAGAGTTGATCAAAATATCTGATGAAAACACTTCAAAAAATAAAAAAGTTTTACAAATTAAAAGACAAAAAATTGCAATATCAAAGTACTAATATACTTAATATATACCAAGTTCTTACAATAACCGTAGAAAAGACAAAACTGCCTATAAGATAATAAAAAAAACAAGCCATACACAGATGAGAAATATAAGCTATAAAACATGCTATTAAAATGTAAAGTGGAATAGTATCTCTGGAGGGCAGTTTGGCAAACATTAAAAGCTTTAGAATACTGTGTATTCTTTTACCTAGCAATTTTACTTAAGAGACTTTATCCTAAGAAAACAATGCCTGAAGAATATCAATATGAACAAATTAGATATAAGAATGTTTATTTATAGTGTTCCCCTATAACAGGAGAAAGTGAATATAAATTAAATTTGCTGATTAGGGAGACTGTTAAATTAATTATGGTACATAAATATAATGGAATGTGACACAGTCATCATAAATATCATCGCCCTCGTGACTGAGAACACATTATCTCAAACTAGTAGTTGGAAGTAGGAAAGGAGTGAGCATCAGTGGAACTGGGCTCATTTCCTTAGTCCCATGAGCACACGTAGTAACAAAGTGAATAATTCATGCTTACCCATTTATTTTCAAGCAAGTCATGTCTTATGTCTTCATTACAAACAGCAGTACTTAAAAGCTGGGGCCGTGCTGCTCTGCCTAGAAAGTAGCCTTCTCTGTCCCACTGCTTCACTGATAACCTCTTTTTCACTTTAAACTCTAAAAAATGTTTGGGCCTAATGGAGCTCTAGAATTGAAAATGTAAAAACTGGCAAATGAAAACATAGCTTGTTGGATTAAACTGTGCCTCTAATGGTTAGTGACGGCTCTAACTTAAAAAGCCACCTATCTACCCTGGCTGAGTAGTTCAGTTGGTTAGAGCGTCACCCCAACATGCCAATGTTGTGGGCTCAACCCCCTAGTCAGGGCACACACAGGAATCAACCACTGAGTGCATAAATGGGTGGAAGAACAAATCGATTGCTTTTCTCCCTCTTTCTCTCTCTATAAAAGTCTTTTTTTTTTAAAAAAAAGCTATCTATCTAGATGGAATATTAAACATGGAAATTTTACATGTTCTGTACTGGATACTATCCAGCTTTCAAATTTTAGCTCTGACTGACACAGTGGCATACAACACACCCATACACCTTTTTGTGTTTGTTTTTTCACACACTCATTCTCAGAAGCCAGAAGTTGACGTGCTATAGCAATCCTATATCTGGTGATTGATTGCATGGAGCAGTCTACTTTAATGGTCAAGTGATTAGACTTGGGAAATTGGCTATCATTTTGAAGCCTAACAGACAGTAAATATTCGTCAGCTTGTTTTGTAACCTTGAGTAAGTTACGTAACTTCTCAGCCTCTGTGCCTCAGTTTTCCTCATCTGTGAAAAAGGGAAAATACTAGCTCCAACCTCAGAGGGTAATTGTGATGATCACGTGAGTCAAATATATATAAACAGAAGAGTATCTGGCATGGAGTAAGTGATATTAGTTATTTACTATTATACCTTACTGTTGCTGCTACTATTACCTCAAGATGTGTACAAAGCCAAAAAATACACATTGCACATTTTCTTGGCATATCGATTTTACTTAACTACTTGGGAGAATTGTCTAATTTTTTTTAATTGGAAATATTATGGAGTCAAGCATAAAACTCATCGTAATGCTGGAGCTAAAACACAAAATTTCAAAGAAATCAAGCCTGTGCAGCCCCTCCAGGCTGTACCAAGACCTGCACCTGGGTTTGTCCTCTCCTCCCTGCCTTGGAACTTGTCTAGCGGAAGCTCTGCTGTGTCACCTGTTCAGTCACTGCATGAGCCGCTTCGCTGGGAGCATGGCACTGATTGACAAAGTCACAAATCTCTTGGCTGTTCACCATGAAGTTAATTCCATCTGTAGTGAGGACCAGGAAGCTGTCATCAGCATGATGTAGCTGCAATCAGAACCAAGTTCATGGGGTTAAAACTACGCTCAGCAAGAGTGTAAAATCTTCATAGTTCAAAGATTTTATCTGTTTTTTGAGTGGGCATCTGTGTTTGCAGCTTGTGGGCAAAACAGAGTAAAAAGGGAAGTCTTATATTTATGGCAAAAGTAGCAACATTTAGCTTCAACCATCAAGGACAAACCAAATCATTACTTAGTAACACCACGAAGAAAACAGCCAGATGGCCAAATGCCAGAAGCTGCAAGACACAATGGTTGAAAGCACTGTCTCTGGAGCCAGGCTTCCTGGGTTTGAAGCCTGCCTCTATTTTTCAGCTGGGCAAACATACGTAAGTTGAGCTGTTGGTGCTCTCGATTTGTTTTTTCTGTAAAATGGAGCAGTAGTAGCTATTTTGAACACAGCCCGGCACATAGTAAACCTTGTGTAAGTTATTTGTTGGATGAAATGAATGTAAGTGAGCTATCTATAAGACACGGAATCATTGTTAATTCACAAACGTTTGCGGCCATCATGGGAAGCCTACACTGCACGGTGCCACGTTCTAGAGTAGGACAGGGGCTGTAGGGCAGGCAGTGTCGGCTCATGACTGGGCACCTGTTGGGGCAAGTGCAGGGTAATGTGGACATTAATCAGTAGCATGCAAAGGATGATGTCACAAAAAATAGAGGTGAGACAATTATGTAGCTTGGGGAAAAAGGAAAGTCAGGGTCAGCTTCGAGTGAGGGTGATGCAAATGATCAGGTGCAGGTAAGGACAGGCAGGAGCACCTTTCTACCAGGAGAATTCCGCAGCAGGTAAAACAAACCAATGTCATCGTACAATGGGCCTGGAGGAAGTATCTGATTTTGTCTGAAAAGATTGTCTATCCTTTCCTTCATTATTCCCTTTCAAAAGCAGTTCTGACTTCATTTAAAGCTTCCAAACAAGCTTGTAGCTGGAGACACCCTGCATTCATTGAAAAGCGTTTACAGGTCCCTTCTTACCTTGATCCTCTTCGTCTCGGGCTCTGCTGTCACACCACTGCTTTTAAGATCCAAATCTCCAAGACTCCTTGTCATCGCAAGTCTGCCATTCACATGAGGCTGTCCCAAACTGTTCCAAAGTACAAAACCACCACTTTTCTTGATCCTGGTCAAAAACAAGTTAAGATCAGAAAACCAGGCATGGTTAAACTGAAATCATTAAATCAGTTTAAAAGGAAAGGTTTCATTTCTATGACATAGATAAAAAAGAACATCCTCATGAGCTGGAGGCGGTACCTTTCCTTTTCATCTTTTCTTTCTGGAGTGTGGTCAGTGGTCAGCTTGATGGCTTTCCCTTTTCTACACAAAATAGCCCGGCTATCACCAACACTGGCTACAACCAGTTCAATGCCATCTCTCAACAGGGCTACCGTTGCAGTTGTACCAGATGCCAGAACAGTCGCTGTAAACATTATGAAAAAGAGTACAAATTACTGACATTCATATGATTGGAGATGGAATTTTCATTACACAATAAAACACAGGCACGTTAAACTAATGCTGAAATGTATCACTTTGATTTAACTAGAGCTATGTAAATAAAATGCAAATGAACTATAGAAGTAACTATGTAAGTAAGAGCATGCAGAGAAAGAAGTATTTGATTCAGTAACAAGGCTCCATGCAAACAAAGGAAGTTGCTCTCCTAATTTGGTAAATAATGCATCACTGTCCCCAAATGTCTGTTTATAACAAGAAGAACTAACACAGACTTATAATTATCATGACACCTTTGTGTGTACATCAAGTGTCAGAATTACGAGCACTGCATTTTAATTAGATTGGCTAATAAGTCAGGGTGCCTTAGGTGTACTGAGCCTACTCAGGCGAGCTGACTTTTCTGTAATCTATGGGCTCAGAAGGTTTCCATTCCACTTCTTACTCCTATCTTGTGGAAGCATTATCAGTTAATAGACTAAGGAAAATATGACGAGGGCATATCATTTGCTTTTCAATAGCTATATTGTATATTCTTACTATCTACAACTGTTTCAATTGTATAAATGTTTACCAAGAAAAATCTTAAAATGGTTAAAGGCTCACATTCTTGTCTGTTTCTATTTGTAGTCTTCAGATGTGCAACAAAGTTACAGCCATCATTTTATTAGGAGAAAATCGGGGGGTGGGGGGCTGGGGAACGAAACTCAGTCCGGTTTCCCACAGGCTCAGGCGCACTAGTTAACACTCCTAGCTCCAGCAGCATCTTGCACAACCCGCCTGTGTCCCGGGGCGGTCCCAGCGCAGGACAGTGCTGCCCAGTGCTGCTCCTGCGATCGCGCCCTGAGCCTAGAGTGTCTCCAGAATATTAATCTTCTCTGACCAGTAACAAAATTAATGGTACTTGGCTTGAGGTCACCACCGTTTCCTCCATCCAATCCAAACTGCATTTCTTCATCTTCCTTCAAATTTCTCTAACAGCATCTACCCTCAATTCTTTACTTCTTGTTTAAAAAAATTTAAGGCACATTGAGCCTTGCCAAAGAGAGAATGCTGTGAAATTATGGGCTAAAAAGTAAAGCAATTGGAAGAAATTGCAAAAGGTAACTGATTTAAAGCAGGTATAATCTTTTGTAACACAATTCTTTAGAGCATAAACAAAATATTCAAATGATTGTTCAAAGATGATTTTGACTTCAAAAGTAGATTTAGGAAAAATTAAGTGCTACAAATTTCACTGATTGAGGCTCATCAATCTTGCCCAAAAAAATTTTTAAAGAGACAATTCAAAAAATTTCACCAGTAATGCAATTTGGAAAGGTACATACTTTTTTTTTCAATCAGTATATTAAAATGCCTGCTTTAATGAGAAAAGTAAAGTGGAAAAAGTAAGTGGCTTTATAATAAAACCTTCTTAATATTTTATATACATGCTGAATTTACTTTATTGAGAAATAGCATTTATAGTTCTACTATCTTCCCACTTGTTTCTTGGTTTTGGAACTGTTGTGCCAAAGCAATAATATCTTGGCAATGCTAACATATCTGTCACTGTATAACATAAATGTTTTAGCATAACTTTCAGTGAAGTTTATGTTACAGATGGTCACTTGAGTTTTCCAAAACAGTATACAGTGGAACCTTCCCGTTTTAACTAGTGTGGTATTTTCAAAAGATGGGAAGAGCCTGGCAAGAGAACAACACAGGGACTTTATTTACTCAGATGCTACCTGTCCCGGGAGGTGAGTTTCCTCTCCTTTGTTTAAACAAAGGAGCAGCTTTTTAAAAAGTGCTTTCTACTTGGCTACACCAAGAGTTATAAGTGCATAAATGACAATTTTCAAGTTCAGCTGTTCAGGATTATAATTCACATTTTGCCACCTAGGAACTTGAAAGACCTTGTCTCTTTACCAACCCAACTTCACAGTTCCAAAATCCCAGAATGGAAGGGAAAGTTTTCAAAACTAACTGTTGAATCTGGTTTGCTAAGCATCTAAGAATACAAATATTAAACTGACATTTATTTTCATTTAACATTTATCATGGAAGTAATTATTCTTACTTTTTGCCCTCACAATAAAACTATAAAACTAAGACATCTTTCAATAAGTTCTTAACACTCACTGGACATTTTCTACTGCCAGTCATCTCAACTAAAGGGACAAAGAGGATGGGGAACCTTCCAGTAGTCCAGGCTAGGAACCGCTGGACTCCTTCACCTGGGACAAAGTTAAGCAGATCTCTCTTTCCACTGAAGCCCAGCATATAGTGTCCACGGGCTCCAGGTCTAGAGCTGCTGACCGGGCACAGTTCTCTGCCACAAACAACACACACAGAGGCAAATGGGAAACTCCCCCAGGAATTGTGCTCAAACATTACAAACCTGCAACACAGGGGAGGGCAGAGAAAGAGCTGCAAAATAAGGGAAAGGGTTTTTATTTTGGTGAAGATATTACTTGCAAATTACATGATATTCCAGGAGATGCCAAATCAAAGATTGCAAAACTCAGTTTTCCCAAATTGATGGTATTTTGTAGTCAAGTCTATTTTCTAACCACAGAGTAACACTTCTTAGTTTTGTGGTTTCCCAAGGTAGGAAAAATCATATACTGGGTTGGCAAAATGTTTGTTTGTTTTGCATTTTGTTAAGTTGTATTGTTATAGCTGTCATAACAACATGTATTTTAAAAACTTATCAAAATTGGAGAATTTTGTGTAGTCATTTTAATATTGAAGATGGAAGAAAATAAGCAACATTATGGACATATTATGCTTTATTATTTCAAGAAAGGTAAAATTGCAACTGAAACACAAAAAAGACGTGTGCAGTGTATGGAGAAGGTGCTGTGACTGACTGAACCTGTCCAAAGTGGTTCGAGGATCCAAGATGGAGATTTCTTGCTGGACGATCCACAGTTGGGTAGACCAGTTGAAGTTGATTGCGATCAAATGGAGATGTTACTTCATAACCAACGTTATACTACATGGGAGGTAGCTGACATACTCAAAATATCCAAATCAATAAAGCTATTGGTTTATTGGTAAAGCAAAATGAAAAAATGTGTTTTTTATTTTATGGAAAATACCAAACGCACTTTTTGGCTAACCCAATACAAAGGCATGTATGTGTACCAAAGCCGGGGTGACGCGGACACACGTCTATATTCTTCCATGCTCTCCCACAGAGCACACATGCAGTCTTGAAGAGTAAATTAGTAGCTTTACTGAGTTGCAAAAAAAATGCACTTTATATTCATTTCGTAGAGATATCAAAACTGCCCCAATACCAGAAAGGAAAATTCAGGGTACATTACTGAATATTTGTCCAATCTGACAAGCAATACACAGATAGAAGATGTGAACTACAATATACCACCAAGTTACTGAGATTGAAATAAATACCGGAGAGGACTCAAAGTACCTCTGTACCAGATACAAGGAGTACCACATTTGTTATGGAGCTCAATGCAGGCATTTATTATGTGAAATCATCTTTTCAGTTAGAATGATTATTTAAATAAAAGCTAGAAAGGCTCTTGAGCTCTAAGACATGTTTACAACTTTATAAAACTCACGAGGTGGGTGTTTCTGCAGCTCTCTCTCCCCTCCCCCCACCCAGTGTTGCGGGCCAACACATCACAACAAAAATGGCCACAGTTTGGAATGAACATCAACAGAAAGAGTAAAAGCTGTACTTTTCAGGGTGTAATGCCCACCTCCCCCAGTACTTATTCAACTGTGTAAACAGCAGTGTGTATAAACAATGCAGGTTCAGTTTATTAAAAATGGGTGTTCCAGGCAAGTGTGACTCATGAGCACTGAGATCAGAGTAACGAGCTGAGCGCAGGAGCAGCACAAGAATCTCTCTTCAGTGCCGTCTCTATTTTCTTTTTGTTGGCTCCCTCCAGCATAAGCAGGGCACTAGGAAACATTGTCTAGCACTGGCTGTTTTACAGTGTAATTGGTCCACAGAGATCACATCATGTGAATAGCCCGGAAGTTTCCAGGGAGACTCACACTGCTGCCACCGTCCCCAACTCTGACCGCCAGAGAAGTCTTCTCTCTTTTGACCTTTTGTCTCTTGAGAAGTTTTGCCGCTTTAAAACCTTAAGCTATCTAGAAACACTTTGAAGAGTTTATGGGATATATAGAATTATAATCTAAGTTTTCTACCATCTGGTTTACATGACAGCTTGTTCATATGCAATATACTAACAGGGTCATTTGAATTTATTGGCTGCTTAATTGTAAAACTATACACAACTGGTATAAATCGAGTATAAAAATTTTCAAAGGTGATGAAATTAGCTATTTATAAATAAGGACAAATTCAAAATTCATGAACAAGTCAATAAAAATATTGAGTAATTTCTTAGGGGTAAGACGCCCTTTCTTGATAAGTGGCATTCTGATCTTACTCTCCTCTAACTACCCCCAGTTTAAACAGAAATAGTAAATACTTTAAATGCTAATGAGGTTATTTGAAGTACTTTACACACATGTGACAGTTTTAAAGTCTTGAAAAAGACAAAAGTGTTTTATTTTTGCTTTCCCTTAAGTTCCATTCCTGAAATTCCGCTATTGGTGAGTCATTCACATAGTTTAACCAATCTTTTTTCAGGTTTCTCCTACTTAAAATTCAGATCCACTCAAGAGTATAACTCATTGAAACATACACATTACACTAATAATTTTGTTAAATAGGCTATAGTGTAATCAGGGAATAAACTATAATAACTTTGGTGAGGACAAGTACACGGTGGAGGTCAGTTCAGTCCAACTGAGCTTCTTCTAGATTCTATGCAGGATGCTGAACAATGGATTCAACACTCAACAAGCATGCTCCCTGCCTGCAAGCTCCTCACAGGAATTGTCCTAGGAGAAAAGTCGGGCTGCTGCTAAAAGAAAAGGGGAAAGAAACTGGAGAGCACAAACTACAATTACTTCACAATTTTATTTAACTAACACTGGTACTATTCCTGCCTATGCCAAGAAGAATATTATCGATTCTTATAATACTGGCACTGCTTTAGTTGTTACAGAAAACTAAAAGAAAAAACACCTAAAAAAGTTTTCATTTAAATAACTTTGAAATATGAAATGGTTTAAGCATTCTATCTTTAGTGGCTTTAATATATTTGATAAAACAGGTCCTAAATGTGTAAAGGCAAATTTTGCCACTTTGTAAAGTTTTAGCAACTTATGAAAAAATTTTAAATTGTTCTCAAAATACTTATTAAAAACAAATAGACTAATTGATCTATAAAAAGATAAAATAAGCCCCAGCTGGTGTGGCTCAGTGGATTGAGTGCTGGACTGCAAACCAAAGGGTAGCCAGTTCGATTCCCAGTCAGGGCACATGACTGGGCAGCGGTCAGGTCCCCAGTAGGGGGCACATAGAGGCAACCACACATTGATTGGTTGCCTCTCCCTCACTCCCTCCCTTCCCTTCTCTAAAAATAAAAAATAAAAAATAAAATCTCTAAAAATAAAAAATAAAATCTTCGAAAAATATAAAAAAAGATTTAAGAACAGCAACATCATCTAGACCTTATTTTTAATACACTAAGCATCATCTGTCTTGCTCCATCATACTTGCAAACAAATGCCCATTAAATGAAAAACAAATTTTAGACTCTTATAAAAGTTTTGATCATTAACTCAAAGCGTGTGACAGAGGAAGTAAATTAAAAGAATATATTTTACTTCCACAATTAATTATAAAAATGGATTCCACTTTTATAATTAATTTCTTTGAACAATTTCTGTTTATGTGAGAAAGGCATTTTACTAAGTTTTTAAAAAATTAGCAAGTTAAGTAAATTCTCTCCCTAAGTTCAAAATTTCCTTTAGTTATAATTTATTAGTTAATAAATGACAGGAGTCCTTTATTTCACACTGACTCTATCATTGTTTTAAGTATCTTTGTTGATGAGATCCTTTAAGAAAGGGATGACTGCATCCATGAAAGGTTTATGTTTTGGATTGAGGCCACATTCCCAGATGAACTTTAACATTTCTTCTGAAAAGGTTGCCCAATAAGTTCTGCCTGTTTGGGGAACAGCTAGGGCACACCACCTGCACTGCAGCTGATAAACATCCTGGCACGAGACACAACCAACCTGGTTATGGGAGAAATAAGCACACCACTGAGGATACCAATATTCAGAGTTATAAAAATAAAATGATCAGAAAATGTTTTAATGTCCTCTTCTCCTCTATATATTTTACCCTTTGAGGACACGAGATAAATCTTATGCCTAAAATTTATCCTCTCTCAACCCCCATTTTTCATAAGGTGAAGGGTCAGCTGGAAGGAAGTCCAAAGGAATAAAAGAGAAAATGGGCCTGAATGATGTACAAATGAGAAAATGAAACCCTGAACAAAGAAATTAACTCTAATGCTCTTCTGAGGCATATGATAATGGAAGCTTCTCAAAAAATAGCAGGAAAACCTTTTAATGAGTCACCTTCCAGACATCTTCTCTAATTCTTATCATTAAATATTTCCTTGAGAGAGGCCACAGTGGCCTCCATGAAAACCCTAGCAACTGCCCTTTACCTTTTTTGAGTTTCAGTCCCTTATTGGGAATCGGGGAGGATTCCCACTCCCAGACACTCAAAGTGAAACTGTGAAAATGACATTTCTGTGATGCCCTTTGGCCTCCTTTAAACCAAAGAATGAGTCAAACAGAGATTAACATTATCGCATGATTCATGTTCATTCTGTGTGCATACATTTATATAATTGCTGCAGAAGTTTTTAAGATTAATTTTATGAGCAAAAGTTATGGGGGACAGCTAACTAGAAAACATTAACTACATTTTTCTGAAATGGTTTTGATCGATTTAGTCAAAGGCAGAAACATTTTACTTTGAAAATTTAAGGACAAACAGTACACAAAATTTTAAATTTACCTTGTGCTACTTCCGGCCAAGATGGAGGTGTAGATAGACACACTGTGCCTCCTCACACAACCAAAGGACAACAACAAATTTAAAAACAAAAAGCAACCAGAACTGACAGAAAATCGAACTGTATGCAAGTCCAACAACCAAGGTATTAAAGAAGAAACATTCATCTAGACCAGTAGGAGGGGCAGAGATGGGCAGTCTGGGCAGAGAGGACTAGAGGCAAGGCAGTGGCTGGAGAACCAGGGTGGGTGAAACAGTAGCTGGCAGAGTCAGTGGTCCCACATTCGTGTGCAGATAAACCGGAAGGAACAAATGGGGAGTGAGACAGACCACGCAACCCAGAGCCCCAGGCCCAGGAAATAAAGCTTCAAAACCTCTCACTGAAAAACAACAGTGGGGGTTGAGGCCAAAGGAGAAACTCCAAGCCTCACAGGAGAGTTCATTGGAGAGGCCCACAGGGTCCTAGAACTACACAAGCCCACCCACCTGGGAATCAGCACCAGAAGGGCCAATTTGATTGTGGGTAGCAGGGGAAGTGACTGAAAGCAGGTCAAGAGCTAAGCAAGTGGCATTGTTCCCTCTGGGATCCCTCCCCCTGACATACAGCACCATAATGGTGACGTCAGTTGCCTTGCCCTGGTGAATACCCAAGGCTCTGCTCCTTACTGTGTAACAGGCACACCAAGACAAAGAAGAAATGGCCCAAATGAAAGAACAGATCAAAGCTCCAGGAAAAATACAACGAAGCAATGAAGAGACAGCCAACTTATCAACCTATCAGATACATACTTCAAAACACTAGTAATTGGAATGGTCACAGAAATGGTTGAGTATGGTTGCAAAATAGAGGAAAATGTGAAAGCTATGAAAAGTGAAATAAGGGAAAATGTACTGGGTATCAACAGTGACAGGAAGGAAACCGGGACTCAATGATTTGGACCAGAAGGAAGAAATAAACATTCAACTGGAACAGAACGAAGAAACAAGAATTCAAAAAAAAAATGAAGAGAGGCTTAGGAACCTCTAGGACAACTTTAAATGTTTCAATATCTGAATTATAGGCATGTCAGAAAGAGAACAACAGCAAGAAATTGAAAACTTACTTGAAAAAATAATGAAGGAGAACTTCCCCAGTCTGGCTAAGGAAATAGACTTCCAAGAAGTCCAGGAAGCTCAGAGAGTCCCAAAGAAGTTGGACCCCAAAAAGCACACACCAAGGCACATCATAATTATATTACCTGAGATAAAAAGTAGGGGGCCAATCTTAAAAGCAGCAAGAGAAAAAGAGACAGTTACCTACAAAGGAGTTCCCATAAGGCTATTAGCTGATTTCTCAAAAGAAACCTTACAGGCAAAAAGGAGCTGGAAAGAAAGAAGTATTCCAAGTCATAAAAGGCAAGTACCTACATCCAGGATTACTTTGTCCAGCAAACTATCATTTAAAATGCAAGGGCAGATAAAATACTTCCCAGATGAGGTCAAGTTAAAGGAGTTCATCATCACCAGGCACTTATTATATGAAATGTTAAAGGGACTTATCTAAGAAAAAGAAGATAAAAAACATGAACAGTAAAATGACAACAAACACACAACTATAAACAACCAAACCTAAAAGAAAAAGACAAAAACAAACTAAGCAAACAACTAGAACAGGAACAGAATCACAGAAATAGAGATCACATGGAGAGTTATGGGGGGTGTGGAGAAAGGGGGAAAAGGTACAAGGAATAAGAAGCATAAATGGTAGGTAGAAAATAGACAGGGGGAGGTTAAGGATAGTATAGGAAATGTAGAAGCCAAAGAACTTCTATGTACAACCCATGGACATGAACTATGGGGTAGGGAATATGATGGGAGGGGGTGTGCAGGGCAGAGGGAAATAAAGAGGGAAAAATGGGATAACTGTAATAGCATAATCAATAAACTATATTAAAATAAATAAATAAATAAATTCACCTGGTGTTCAACAAATTTTAAAAAATCACTAACTATAGCAGGAAAGCTGCAAGCTTTTTTAAGAAGTTGGAGAAAAAAGTATCCATTCTAATTATACAAACTAGTTATATTAGTGATTGTCCTTTTCTGCCTAGGACCAATTAGTAATTTTCTCCTTGCCTGACCAATTACTGTCCTGGCTAGATGAGATTATCCTGTAGTGTCTTTCAGTATTTGCTCATCAGATTCATCTAAAAAAAATAATAAACATCCTCATGGTATGAATATGTTGTCCACAAAATGTACAACCAAACAGATTTTAAATTTTTAAAATCTTTTTAAAATTGAAATGCAATATATGAACCATTCTGGAACTTCAATTTCTGAAAAATTCTCTAATATATTTCATTTAAAAGTAAAGTACTAACGTTAGTTTGGATTTGAAACAGCATTTAAAGTGATTCTTTATCTGAAATCATTTTCCACATAAACATTCTTATGAAAAAACGGACATTAAAATTTCCACCCCCAAAAGGCTTAAACCATTTCCATTTTATCCAGGCATTGCCCAGGGTCCTAAGGAATGTGATTGTTTTACTTACCATCAGCAGATAGGTGGGCATGTCTCTCAAAGGCTTTATCTATTTCTAAAAAAGCCAAGGTCATCACAGTTTCCAAGTTCTTCTCCTTAGGAAGCAAATCCCTTTATGGGGAGAAAAAAAGAGCCCCCCAAAATCATTTTATAGTAGGTGTCTCCTCCTCTTCCTCTCATCTCCTCTCCTCTTGGTCATTCTAGTGAGCACACTCCACACAATGGCTCTCTGTGTGGCTTGCCTTCAGTATCTACTAATTTAGATAGCATAGTGATAAGCCACTAAGGACACTAAAATAAAAGTCCAAGTTCCACCCTGGCTGGTGTGGCTCAGTGGACTGAGGGCCAGACTACAAACAAAAGGGCCACGGGTTCGATTCCCAGGCAGGGCACACGCCTGGGTTGCGGGCCAGGTCTCCTATTGGGGGCACTCAAGAAGCAACCACACATTAATGTTTCACTCCTCCTCCTTCTCCCTCCCTTCCCCTCTCTAATTAAAAAAAAAAGTCCAAGTTCCCATATTAAAAGATTAATCCTCACTACTGCAACTCTGAGAGGTCAAGAGTTCCTTTGTATTAAATTACTGTATTAAGCCACTGAGTGGAATAAGGCAAAATATACTTAAATCGACTAATGAACAGTATGAACAACTATACACAGAAAAGCAAGAAATAGTCACGGCTACAACTCTGTCACATGTTCTCCCCCTCTTTTATTGCTACCTGTAGTGCGATCCTCAAAAATACATTGTAATAATTGCATTAAACTATGTAAAAAACTCCAAAACACCCACATTAAGTGCATTTTCCCCATACTAATGATGATTGTGTAAAGTTATTATCAACAAGTAATCAAAGCTAATCATGCCACTTGAGAATATAATTACCATTTATTGATGCATTAGGAGCCATGCACTGAGTAAGGAGTAAATGCTTCTCATAAATTCTCATAGTACATGAGATCCCCCAGGGGTGTCCAACCTTTTGGCGTCTCTGGGCCACACTGGAAGAAGAAGAGTTGTCTTGGGCCACACATTAAGTACACAAACACTACCAAAAACAAACACAAAATCTCATAATGTTTTAAGCAAGTTTACGATTTTGTGTTGGGCCGCATAAGGCCCATGGGTTGCGGGTTGGACACTCCTGAATGATCACAAATCAAGTACCATGGATTCTGGTTGTTAAAATGAAACAACAGGCCCAAAGTGGAGTCACCTGTGCTCCATCCACATCACTAAACCAAGGTTTTAATACCTTACCTAACTGCAGTACCAGCATTTCCCTGCAATAGTCATCTTAACCAGTAATCTTAAAATTACTAGTAATCTTAACCGAGCCAAGTGATCTTAGCCTGGAATTTTCTGGTTAGCACCGGTGAGATAACCTGCCTCACGGTCCCTTTCCATCCCCCAGAGGAAGAAGCAACATGCTCTGTCCCTATTCGTTGCCCCCTCTGCCCACAAAGCCTTCCATTTTGTTGAGCTCCTCCAAGCTCCTTCCCATTCACTCGATGGGCTGCTAGTTGTAGGAACTGTTCAATAAAAGCCCATTAGATATTTAAAATGTGCTTGGCTGAATTTCTGTTATTTAACACCATCAATGCTCTCACCAGGGGAGCTGAAACATTTACTTTTGAATGGTAATAATCACCAGTAATAAAAGACATGCAGAAGCTACTGCTTGTTCAAAAAACAATTATAAAATCATTCAAATAACTACATTAAGACTGAATATCTCAGCCAAAAAGTGAAAGTTTAAACAGGAAGTGTAAGGCCAACTGCAAAGTCAAGAGTGAAAGTCACCCTACGTACATGATGCATTCCTCCATGTGGGTGTGACAGAAGTCAGCAGCGGCAGGTCCTCCGTGGCCATCGTATACCGCGAAATACAGGACCTCCTCGGTCAGCTGAGCAAAGTCAAATCTGTCTTCATTCTCTTTCCGTTTGCCAATCTGTGAGGCGCAGCCCACGTTTTCCAAGCTGATTTTGGGTATTGGCTTGCCATACTTAATGCTGGGCGGCAGCAGAATTGGCTCATCAATGCGGTTATCCCAGATCCCAAAATTATCCCAGGTGGCTGGACACCCACTACCATCTGGGTCAAACCGAGAAAACCTGGGCTCCGAAGTGGAGCTCTGGCGTGTGGGTGTCACCCGACTGTTATCCTGTAGCAGGCGGGAGCTTAGCAGCGCTCTCCTCGCCTGGTTCCCACCACTTCTAACCAAAGTAATTAAGGCAGCTGTTGACATAACTCAAATCCAAAGGACTCAGTAGTCAGGGAAAGGCCAATGGAACAATAATGGAATGTCTTCCCCCAAAAATGATGCAACTGAATAGCAAGGGAGAGATCAAGAGAAAGAGAGACTCCATCAGTAATTTTGAATATAACATATATTATTAGACATTACCAAAACTGAAGGCATTAAAGAATGTGGCACCTAACAGCCAACTTCTAAGGATAGTGCATCAACATCAACCCACTATTCACCATGCCATTCAGAGTTTAAATTCTATAAAATTTGACAACATGCACACATCATATGGTCAAGCTTTAATTTACCATCACCTTGGGATCTTGTTAAAAATGCAGATTCTGACTCTGCCTGCATTGGGCCTGAGACTCTGCATTTCAAAACAGCTCCCTGGTGATGCCTGCCTAGTCCAGCAGGCCACCCTTTTGAGTAGCAAGAACATAAAATACAGGTATAAATTAATATTCTTTCCTTTATTAACTCTATTGCTCTGAAGAAAAGAGGCAAATATTACTAACAAAATTTCTTACAAGAGCTAGAAATGAAAGAAGAAAAAAATAACTGGTTAATAGAATGTTTATGATAGTTCTATACCCAAAGAGTGTTCCAGGCTTAGCAAAGACACACCTAGGATCTAAACTCTGTTTTGTTTCAAGATTTCTCCACTTACTGAACTTTACATACCTAAACTGGTTCAGGCAAACACTCCCAGAGGTACAAGGATAAGCCAGTTAGGATGTTTCCTGTTTGCGGTAGACCCTCATGGGGAAGGTGTGTGAACTCAGGAATTGAGTGGCGCTGAATTTCTGACAACCACCCCTGACTTGTGAGCAACTGACCTGTGTGCATTTACGTTCTCAGTTACCCTTTTCTCACACAGCCCCAGGAGCCCACCCACACTCACTGCCTACACCTCCAGCAGGAGATCACAGCAGAGTATGAACTACATTTTTTGAAATGATTATTCTGCACCCCCAGCTTCTGGACTCTGCCCCAAAGCTAAATCCTAAAAGCTCTTCTGGGTGTTGTCAGGGGGAATTCCTGTGTCCCTGCTAGGGTAGCCCTTCCTGCTAGAAGGGCTGTTTCTGGCCATTTTCCATACAAATTAGGTTGTAAGCAGAAGTTCGTCCAGAAACTCTTTGTTCTGTTATTTTATGAATTGAAAACATAGCGTGATGTTAAGGTTTGGTAATGCTAGTGGAGGGTATAGAGATGTTATATTCTTCTCACTTATATGTTTGAATTATTTCACAATAAAAATATGAGCTTAAAAATATAGATTCCCCCCAAAATGCACATACACACACACACACCAAAGCCCAGTTTGGGTAAATCTATAAAAAATGTGTTACAGATTTCAAACAATCATTTTCAAATATATTTTTTGGAAATCAGTGAGCTATGTATTAGAAGAGCCATTACTCCTTTCAGTGAGTAAAGCAGTAAAAGGAAAATAGAAGGTTCCAAAGCACACCTGTAGATACATAAGCAATGGAAGACATGAGCCCTGCCTTCATAGGACTTAGAATGAAGATGGAGCCCAGACAATGACTGTTATCATAAAAGACTCAGGAGGCCATCCCTTCTTGGTCTTTTGCATCGTATCATGCATAAAAAACAGAAATTCGCTTCTTTTAAGACAGCATTAAAGGTGGTGGAGACACCATCTCTGGTTATCTAAGAAAAGAAACATATTCCATTACCAAAAAAGGTGTTTACTCCTTAGCTTCTGATTGAAAGTTATATATATATATATATATATATATATATATATATATAATTTTATTGTTGTTCAAGTACAGTTGTCTGCATTTTCTCCCACCACTCACCCCCAACCCCAGTCATCCCCACCTCCCTCCCCTGATTCCACCCTTCTTGGTTTTGTCCATGTCTCCTTTATAGTTGTTCCTGAAAACTCTTCCCTTTTTTTCCCCCATTATTCCCTCCCACCTCCCCTCTGGTTACTGTCAGTTTGTTCTTAATTTCAAGGTCTCTGGTTATATTTTGCTTGTTTGTTTTGTTGATTAGGTTCCACTTAAAGGTGAGGTCATATATTTGTCTTTCACCACCTGGCTTATTTCACTTAGCATAATGCTCTCCAGTTCCATCCATGCTGTTGCAAAGGGTAGGAGCTCTTTCTTTCTTCCTTTCTTCCTTCCTTCCTTTCTTTATTTCTTTTTTCTTCTGAAGATTATATTTTATCCAGCAATAATAAATGTCAAATAAAGGTGAGGAGTTGTAGAGAAATGCCAAACTGTAACGTAAACTTGTAATTCTAGTAAGAGAACTAAGTACTAATTATTGATGGAGATGATTCACAAAGCACAAAATTATTTATGGAGATAATTTACTTTTTCTCCATCAAAACTACAGATGGAGAGCCCTGGCTGGTGTAGCTCAGTGGATAGAGCTCAGGCCTGTGAACCTAAGGATAGTGGTTAGATTCCCAGTCAGGGCACATGCCTGGGTTGCAGGCCAGTTCCCAGCAGGGGGCGCATGAGAGGCAACCATGCACTGATATTTCTCTCCCTCTCTCCTTCCCTTTTTCTCTATAGATAAATAAATTAAAATCTTTAAAAATTAAAAATTGGATTATTAAAAAAAACTATTGATGGAGAAAAAGTAAAAACTTTAAAATTGTTGACTAGAAAACTCATTAATATTTGCAGAGTGCACTAAAAATTAGCAAAGTGTTCTTTTGGCTTCAGTCTGAAAGCATGTATACCACATTCAGCCTTCAGCCATTTTGCAGTCACATGCCTACTTTAAACAATAGTCCTAAAACTATAAACAATAAATATTAGATAAAGTTCTTCTTCAGTTTGTATAGGATATTGCCTCCCTTCTCTATCTTCCAAATATAAGAAAGAGAGAGAGAGAGAGAGAGAGAGAGAGAAAAGAAAGAAAGAAAGAAAGAAAGAAAGAAAGAAAGAAAGAAAGAAAGAAAGAAAGAAAGAAAGAAAGAAAGAAAGAAAGAAAGAAAGAAAGAAAGAAAGAAAAACAGACCTGCATTCTCAGCAGGAAACAAACACCCACTGGAAAAATTACAAAAGAATGAAACAAAATGCAAGTTGGGCTGTTTCTTTAAGCCCACATATACTACAATTAATCATCAACCTGGTCTCCTTCCTCATTTATTATCTGCACAATCATCTCAGAAAGCAAGCAGAATAGTTATAGAAAAACATTTCCTTTAAGGCCTACTATTGGCATAGATGAAATATGAGGCCGATATATAGTTACTTTACATAATTAGCTCAGCATCAATTATGCAAGCTAGAAACTTTGTCTGAGAAGTGGTTCCACCTTCTTTCCCAAAGGGAAAAACTAAATTACATTGATCTCCCCATATTACCAAGAAACTAAATGGGACCTGTGATCCCAAGCTAAATAGCAACTTTGAACTAAATCTACACATCAAAAAACGTTTCTTCCATTGTTTCAAACCAGGAATCAGGCCCCAGCCCTCCAAATGCCCATGGAAATGTCTATGTACCAACTAGCAGGCAAAGGGTACAATTTATGACATGAACAATATACAAGAATCTTTAAGAAAAATAATCAGTATTCTTTATAAGGAAAAGAGTGGAGAGCAAACTGACAAATGAAGAAACATTTTTTTATTTGTCAGATCAGCAATTATAAATTGGCATGAATTTATCATTCTGCTAACTAAAAAAGTTATTCAAGAATCCTTTATGTCACTCTCTCAATCAAAAATCAAGGCGAGCTCATTTTTATAAACCATTTTAACATTTATATTCAATCTTCCAATGTCAAAATCAAGGTCATTCAACAGGGTCACAGGACAGAAGTAACTTTTTCTTGAAAACCATTGAAGACACAGAAATGTCACAGCAAAAGTTAAATGGGACCCTGGCTGGTGTAGCTCAGTGGATTGAGTGCAGGCCTGCGAACCAGATAATCGCGGTTCAATTCCCAGTCAGGGCACATGCCTGGGTTGCAGGCTGGTTCCCTGCAGGCCAGTTCCCAGCAGGGGACGCACAAGAGGCAACCATACATTGATGTTTCTCTCCCTCTCTCCTTCCCTTCCCCTCTAAAGATAAATAAATTTTAAAAAATCTTTAAAAAAGTTAAATGGACTAGGAGCACAAGAACACATTATGCTATTACACCACATTCTACTAGCAAAAATAAAATTTAAAAACTAAACTCTTTAAAAATTTAAAAACAACCTGAACTGTTCGACCATCACAGACCAAAAGGGGAAAACATGAGCAGTCTTTCACTTAAAACAAGCTGTTTTCAAAATCCATTTATGTATGGCACAAATTTACTGTAGTCACATGAATTTTTATAAAATTCACACACAAAAACCCTGTATATTCTACACATTGTCAATAAATAAACTGAAAATACTTTCCTTTTTCATCAGTTCCACATTGATTTTTGTGACCAGGCCTGCTCCATCTTCCTCTCCCTCAATGCTTTTACTAGCTAATCTGATATTCTGAGGTCCTGACACAGATCTCTGAATAGTGAAAAGGGTTGGTTGAACAGTTCTGACTGTGGGAGAGAGGGAGAATATTCTCATCAGTGGGTTAAATGGAAGTGCAGTAAGTTGTGAGAAGCATACAAATTCTACCCAAGATTGCTAGTGATAATCCACATCCTGAGAGTAGGAAACCTCAGGTGAAAAGCATCAGAAAGGAAAAAAAATGCCTTTAGTTTGTGGTAAACTTCTGAAGCACATATCTGATTTACAAATCCGGGGGGGAGGGGCAGGGTGAAGAAAAGCCATTCGTACAACTACAAGATAGCTATGCCAATTTTACACTTCATTTTTCTCCCATTTTATAATCCCTCAATGGTTTAAACACCTCAGGGTAGTCCAAGTTTATTTTTGGAGAAGAGAGGCATTCACTGTCTCTGACAGGTGAGCGCACTTGGGATTTGGGTTACACTGCTCTTGACCGCTGGAAGCAGGTCAGAAGGGTGGTTTATGTTTTCATTTTAAATCCATGCCAAAATTATTCAGGTGCTCTAAGAATTAGTACTACTGAAGCCTGCTTAGATTTATCCCTCCAGCAAAAATATTTTTAAGTATTCAAATCCGTCTATCATAAAGTGATACTTGGGTAATTCTTACATGCCTAACTTCCATAATGAAAACATGAGCTGATTTCAATACTGAGCTAAATGTTTCTTTATTAACTTTTAAAAAATTACCAATGCATCACAATAAATTTAAATGACATAGACTGTTCCAGGGTGTATTTCAGAAAACTTGGACTTTAATATCTTCTTTATCAGTACCCTGGCTAGGAGGAAAGAAAAGAAGATCAACTAGTCTACCCAAGGGAAAAAGAAACAATGAAAACTCCAAATGACGTCCCTTAGGTTTGATGGGAATTTTGTGTAATGTGTGAACGAAGAATATGGGAGCAGTGAAAAGTACTCTTTCTCATTCCACAGGCATCTCTTAAACCGTTTTAGTTAATGTGGATACAACTCAAAGACTATTTCGAACCTGTACCTTTACACTCCATTGAAGAATTTTCTTTACATTCTATTCTATATCCCCAGCATCTCTCCCCTCTTCTTTCCCCTTCTCTAAGATTCCAACCAAAGGAGATGCTTGTGTTAGCTAGGGGTCGATAAAGAGTTCCTTAAGGTTGCAAGAAAAAAAATCATTAGCGAGATCTCACTATTCAAAAACGATTCCTAAGATATTTTATTACAGAGCTGCAATTGTTCTTTTCCTAATACAACGAAATTATTGCTTCCCCCCCCCAGGTCAATTACAACCTGTAATTTCAGAATCGCTTATTCTGAAACTACCAGATAACCTCCTTCTTCCACCTCGCTGACTGAGGGTGAAATGGACTAAAAGGCCTTGTTGCACATTTCCACTCTAAAGCACAGAAAGGCTAAGGAAGCTTCAGAAACTCCAAATTCTATGGCTATTTCCACCCATAGTATCGTCTTTTTCCACCTGCTGTGAAAACTAATCTACAGAAAGCGGCAGCTAAAAAAGACATCACCAGTCACAGACCTTGAGATTACAATGCTCTCCTGGCAAAGCAAAACCCATGCCTTCCCTTCTACACCAACCAAGGCTCTGTCTTCATGCTTCTCTATTCTGAGCCCCCGAAAAGCTAGCCCTTGCACGGCTCAGGATCATGGGCTCGGCTCGCTGACCGTAACAAATGAGTGTCCAGTTTGACATACGACAAGGAAGCACACCCTCCTGCACGCGCAGCACTGCAGATGGCTGGGTTTTCCTAGCACCGTCCACTGCACGGTCTCCATCTCCACGCCGCCGGGAACCCAACCACCCTCTCCACTTACAGATCCCGGGTGTCGCCCACGTCCCCCTCTCCCCGACGTCCCGGGGCTGCGTAGGGCGACGAAGGGCCTCATTAAAGGAAAACGCGTGCTGGCAGCCCTCGCGTCCCTTCTACCGGCCCCGCGGGGGTCCCTTCCTCCCTCCGACTCGGCCCACCGCGCTTGCTCGGCTAGCGCCTCCAAACAGCGGTGCAACCGGGTGGGCCCTGCGGGGACTCGCTGCTTCTGTCCTCAAAAGGAAAGAAAGCAGCCCAGAAAACACAGACACTGACGATGGGGCTCGACCGAGGGTGCTGGGAAACCTAAACCTGTCTTTCCCCTTACCTCCCCGCGAAACCCTGCCCGATTAACTCTCCATTCCGCGGTCCAGGAGTGGCGGGGTGCGACCCGGCCTATAAATATTATAAAAGATTAAGAGAAATAAATGAAATGCACTCTAGGCTCTTACCTAGTGATGGTTACGTGCTTGGAAAATATTTAATTAGCTAACGAAAGTCGGGAGAAGGGCTTTCTTGGTCTGTAAATAAAATAGCCCTCTCCGATGTGTCTGATCTCTGAACAAGCAGTTAGAACAGTCCCTGGATCGCTTGATGGAAATTCTCGAGAATGTGTCTCCTTCAGTCCGCCAGACGGAGGAAAAGGCTGGGGGGCGGGGCGGGGGGGGGGTGTTTGTTCCCGCCGACTGACAGCAGATACGACCAATCCGCGCTTGGAGGGCGGTGCTCCTCTTGAGGGGCACACCAATCACAGATTACAATGGAAACGAGCCTCCCCAGGACTGTAATTTGACTTGGCTGTCCTCTAACTGTGCGCTACGGAGCGACGTCCGCTGGGACCAGTAGCGGCTCGCAGTAACACCCCCAAGGCCTTGGCGCGCCGGCCAATGAGGAGGGAACTCGGTGGTGGGTGGGGTCCAGAGACAAGTACCGAGACAGTATGAAGCCTCCAGCACCAGGGATGTGGTTTGAGGCAAAGGGACGGAGGTTGTGACAACCAGAAAACTGAAAACGGAATGCTAACACTTTGCCTGCGCAAAGGCGCTTGAAAGGTATCTGGTTCATTATTATTGAATAATAAAACAGTGCAAGCGTTCAGCATAACTAAACAGGCATCTCGTGACCCTTTGGGAATGTGCACTCATTTGTTGGACAAGTATTTGTTTATCTAGGATCTTTTGCATGCCAGGCACTGTTCTAAGCCCTGGAGATACAATCGCAACTCAAACAGACATGATAGCTGCCTTCATAGGCAAACAGGTAAGCAAGCAAATAAAGTAACATATGTCAAGGGAGGAAATGGACATGGTATGGATATAAAGAATATTAGGAGTTTGACATTAGATATAGAGGGTTGTCCTAAGAGAACTTTACAAGATAATGTTTAAATAGAAATTATAAGAGTAGGGAAAAAATCAGTTAACTCCGAAAGCCAGGAAGGAAATGATTTTCTGGGCAGAGGGGAAATCAGAGCAAAGACAGCTTGCAGTTTTAGAAGAACAGAAGGAAGGCCAGTGTGACTCCAGTATAGAGTTAAGGAGAGAGCAATATGACGGAAGGTGGATGAGATAGACAGAAGCCAGACCATGTAGCCAAGTGTCGGAGTTTGCATTAATTTTAAATTTGCCCTGGCCAAGTAGATCAGTTGGTTAGAGTGTCATCCCTATAAGCCAAGGTTGTAGGTTCTATCCCCCAGTCAGGACACATACAACAATCAACCAGTGAATGCATAAATAAGTGGAACAACATATCACTGTCTCTCTCTCTCACACACATCATAAATAATTTTTTTTAATTTTAAATATAGTGGGACTCTATTGAGGCATTTTAAGGAAAGGAGTAAAATGATCTGATTAAGGCTTCATATCACTTTGGTTACTGTGTTGAGAACAGGTAGACTATGCTATTGGGAGACTGGGTAAGAAACTATATCAAATGAGACCCAATGTGTGAAATGACCTGTCTTAACCTATGGTATCACTGGAGGTAGGGAAAAGCACAGAGATTCCCCCTGGCTGGTATGGCTCGGTGGACTGAGCGCCAGCCTCCAAACTAAAAGGTTGGATTCCTGGTCAGGGCTTCGGGTCAGGATAGGTCCGCTGTTGGGGAGGCGGTGCATCGCACATCCGATGGCTCTCTTCCTCTCTTTCTCCCTCCCTTTCCATCTCTCTAAAAAGAAATAAATAAAATCTTTAAAAAGAGAGATTCAAGATTTTAAAGATAAATTATTATCTTGTTTTGACATATTAGGTATCTTGATTCCAAGACAACTTTTTTATTGCATTTATTGAGATGACATTTGTTAATAAAATGATACAGGTTTCAGGTATACAATTCTACAATACATCATCTGTATAGGTATTGCGTGTTTACCACCACAGGCCAAGACAGCTGTTTTGAATCCAGTTCATTGAATACTCTGTTTAGAGAGTGATTCCCACATTGATGGCTCACAAATTGTAGTAATGATATTTGATACTTACTACATGTGTTGAAATATATTTTTCATGGGTTTTCCGCAATTGTCTTTCTGTTTTTAACTTTTTATTACAGTATTTTACATGTGTGCTTTTGTATACATATTCAGAAAAGTATGCATATCCCAGATGTATACAGCTCAATGAATTTTCACAGTCTGAATACACTGGTGTATCCAGCACCCAGATCAAGAAATAGAACATTATCGGCCTTGGCTGGGCAGCTCAGTTGGTTAGAGCATTGTTCCCATAAGCCAAGGTTGCAGGTTCTTTCCCCATCAAGGCGCACAAAAGAATCAATCAATAAATGCATAAATGAGTGGAAAAACAAATTGATGTCTCTCTCTGAGAGAAAGAAAGAAAGAAAGAAAGAAAGAAAGAAAGAAAGAAAGAAAGAAAGAAAGAAAGAAAGAAAAAACTGTTAATACCAGGGACCCTATCATGCTTTCAGTCATTGCCTGCCTGACTTTCAACAACATAAATTAGTTTTGCCTGTTTTTGTACTCGATATATATATATATATGTATATATGTATGTATATTGTATATATATATATATATACACACACACACACATAGGATTCTTTTGTGTTTGACTTCTTGGCAACAACAAGGAACTGTTAACATGGGAATTTCAAGCTTCTTAGTATAAACATTTTGAATCATCCTTCCACATTTGACCTCCTTTTAAAGCACTTGCAATCTGTGTGCTCAGCATTTGAGAATGTCATGATTTTGCTACATTCTTTTACTATAATACTGCAACCCACAGTCATATGGTAAGCAAGATCACCTAGACAGTCCTAAGAATATGAGTATGTTTGATGCTAATACAGTTTTTGGAATTACACTTGAAAGCCATACTATTCCACATTATACCAGAGTTGATTACAAATGAAGCCAGCAGCTTACTTCTTTTGAATTATATACTTCTGCTCTTTGAATCTCTGAAGCAAGGTTTAATGTAGTACAAATGTACACCGACTCATCATGAGAGATCATCATATAATGTCCAAAGAAACAAGTGAACATGATATCATGGTTTTTAGAACTTTAGCTCCTTTTTCATGTCACTTAATATTTTCAAGAATTGAACTATTTGGTAATAATTCAAAGAGCAGAAGTATATAATTCAAAAGAAGTAAGCTGCTGGCTTCATTTGTAATCAACTCTGGTATAATGTGGAATAATATGGCTTACAAGTGTAATTCCAAAAACTGTATTAGCATCAAACATACTCATATTCTTAGGACTGCCTAAATGATCTTGCTTACCATATAACTGTGGGTTGCAGTATTATAGTAAAAGAATGTAGCAAAATCATGACATTCTCAAATGCTGAGCACACAGATTGCAAGTGCTTTAAAAGGAGGTCAAATGTGGAAGGATGATTCAAAATGTTTATACTAAGAAGCTTGAAATTCCCATGTTAACAGTTCCTTGTTGTTGCCAAGAAGTCAAACACAAAAGAATGCATACTGTATGATCCTATGTGTGTGTGTGTGTAGGTACATGGCATGGGAGCTTATAAAATATAAAGTGAGGACATACGAGTTTTGAGTAAACCACCTGAGATTTAGGCTAATGAACTACCACAAGTTCAAAGATAAACTAAGGCATATTAAACATGTAGAGTTTACTTGAGCGAATATTGATTGGAATTGGGTGGCACTAAATCAGAATTGGTTAGGAGCACTGCACCAACAGAAGCTAGAGGCAAAGTTTTATAGAGAAGATTTACAAGCAAAACAAGGAAATTATTTGATTGGCTAGAGCCTAAGCAATTACCTTTGAAGAATAGAGGGAAAAAATAAAATGGAGTCACTGTACTCAAGCTGCTAAATTACTAAAAGCAAATAGCTTGTGGCGTGAGAAAATGGTTTTATTCTTTAAAAACAATTATTTTTGTTCTTTCATTGATTCCAGAGAGCAGAAGGGAGAAAGAAAGAGAGGGACAGAAAGCATCAATTGGCTGGCTCTGGCACACACCCCAACTGGGGACAGAACCCTACAACCCAGCATGTGTCCCAACCAGAAACTGAACCTGCGACCTTTCGGTGTGTGTAATGACACCCAACCAACTGAGCCACACTGACCAGGGCTGATTCTATTCTTATTCTAACTAGCCTGGAAACTTAAACTTTTGAAATTTCCAGGCCTCTATTTAGTGTGCCAATTTATTGTGTGTTAATACCTGGACACATACCAGACTTCCAGATAATCCTGATTACCTCCTGAAGGATTCAAATATGCAGACCACCTAACATCCACTTTACATCTATTATCCAGACCACTGAACATCTGACTGATAACTGTCCTGGACCAACCTACAGCTAAGAATGCAGGGCTGATTCATCTTAAGTAAGTACTTTTTATTATAAGAACTCAGCTTTTCTTTATCTTACTTGGGAAAGTCTAGTTCGTGATTGGTTGTCCTTAGGTTTCTATTTCTCAATCTGAGGCAATATAGGGAGACTTCCGTCAACATGGAGGCATGGGTGGAGACGCCGTGCTTTCTCACACTACCAAGTTTAGAGACAACAAAATATTAGCAACAGAAAACACAGCCAGAACACAGAAAATTGAACTTTTCGGAAGTCTGATAACAACGAATTCTTCAGCCTGACCGGTAAGAGGGGCGAGGCCAGCAGCTGTCGGAGCGGGGTTGCACGGGAAGGCTCGCTCAGACGGACTCAGGCACATGGATCCCAGGCGTGGGGTTGCAACAGGCGGACCCAACGAGTGACCCAGTGAGTGACCCAGTGAGCGACCAGCAACCCAGCGAGGGTGCAGGGCGGCAGGTTGACTGTGGTCGTGCATTCCTGCGCAGATAGACGGGGAGGGAGTGGGAAATGAGACAGGACTGAGCAGGCCCCAGTGGCGGGAGGCAGCAGAGGGGGCCGCCATTTCCCCACTCTGACCCCGCCCCCACATACAGCATCAGAACCCAGCCACCTGGGCGGCCCCACCCTGGTGAACATCTAAGGCTCCGCTCCTCATCCTTAATGGGCCAAACAGACCAAAAATGGCTCAGGAAGATCTCAAAGCCCCAGAGCCCATAACTCTAAGCGACGAAGAAATAGCAAAACTTTCAGATACACAGTTCAAAACACTGGTGATCAGGATGCTCACAGAACTGGTTGATTTTAGTCACAAATTAGAGGAACATATGAAGGCTAAACTAGTTGAAATGAAGGGAATTGCACAGGAAATTAATCTGAGGCAATATAGACTTAAGTTTTCGTTTGCTTAAGTGAGCTATTAAGGCATTAATGTAATCTCAGCCTGATGGCCCCTTGTTTAATATAGGCTAACACTACCCATTTTTCTAATTAGTTGCTAATATTCCCGGAAGCCATACAGTGTGTAATAATAAACTGATAATGTTACTGAACCAAAGTGGGATTCAGCTGCCTGCTGCCAATAGGCAATTTCCAGAGGCAGGGGTTCATGGGAAAGAGGTCTTTATTCAAATGGTCAATGAACGGAGGGACTCTCCAACTCCACGTTCATCAGGCTCATCTCTTCTGCAAAACACAGGCAACACCAAGCAGGCCCCAGTAAGACCAAAATGAAAGTCAGTGCACAGAATTTCTGCTCCATCCTTATTTGTCTCTTTGAGCCTGAGATCGCTAAGCGGGCAGCTGTCCGTTCAGGCTCCCTCCTGGAGGCTACACGTGTTGCCAGCACCACCATTGGCCATGTGGCTTCCAGGACCAGAAGATCCCACCAACACAGGCCTAAACTTCCACCAAGTGGGTAAAGAGCCTGGCCCTTCCTCCCCCTGAGTTTATATAAGTTATCCACGTGGGCCAGACCAGGTGCTTTTTCTCTGCCCAAACTTTTGCGCGCTCTGGCAGGGCCCGGCCCCCCAACCAATCCCTTTCTTTACCCCAGACTAGACTGACAGGTTTTTCTGGTACAGCGCCTCCCCCCTGAGGCCATTTAGACCTCTACGACACCTGTGCCTGTTTCCCTTGGTCGCACCCCAAGTCAGAGACTGGAAGGGGATAGCAGGGCTTTTCCCTTATCCAGTTATTTTTGCTGGCTTTGTGTATGCTCAGTGCAATATTTACTCCTGCCACCATCTTGCCCGGGAGTGGGGCGATCTGTCTTCAGGAGCGGAAGCGCAGGATCAGAAGAGAATTCCCCAGACGCTAGCTTGGTTACCCTGGCAACGCAACTTCACCTGCTGCCTTGGGCGATTCTGGTCTCCTCCTTTCCCTGCAGTCTGGCCAGGCTATCAGTATCAATAATTAATTAATATTCACTAGTGAATAATTAATTATTTTCTTATGTAAAATTAGAGATGGATATTTTTGTATACTCATGTTCCAGACTATGCAATCCCAAAATATGCCTCTTTGACATATGAATTATGTTGAGATAAAAGCAATTCAGAACCAGGGGATGCAGTTCTTTACCACCCCCTGCCTAAGGATAGAGTATAAATTTCTCCTTTGGTAAAGTAAATTTAAATTTATGAAAGAAATTTCCATTTATAATGGTGTGTCTAGGAAGTACCAGGAAGAGAGCTACTCCCAGAGATAACTTTTATCACCGGAGAGACTCTTATCTGCATGAGACAACACTTACTCACCACACATTTCCTCCCCTTTCTTCCCTTAACTTGTCTTCCTCACCCGGAAACCCCAAATCCCTCTTCCTTTGTTTAGTCTAAGGTAGTATATTAACCTCAATCATCTTGCCTGCTAGTGTCTTATTTTTCTGTGAAATTTCTATGCATGCTTACATAATTAAGTTTTTTAAATTTGTCTTTTATCAATTTAATTTCCAGGGTCCCAGACAGTTAACCGAGAAGGGTAGAGGGAAAATATTTATTCTTCTTCTACATTAGAATCAGCAATTTTCCAGGTAAATATCTGTATGCTACATTTGGCCTCATGCTAAACTCAGAGGCCAGGGATATTGGGATATACTTTTCCACAGCTCAGGCTGTTCTAGCCAGAATTTCTAGGTCAGATACTGCTTCTCTGACCTAGAGAAGTAGGTCACCAGAAAAATTGCCAAAACAAGAACACAGAAAAATTTTAAATCTTTTCCTTGGACCCAACTAAAACTTATAGCAACGATTTTATCTTAGAATCTAAGTGTTGTTTTATTGCTAGGTGTAATTTACTTCCACGAATATGGAATGAATGGATTCACCAATATCAGTGGTACAAATATTTGAATTATCTTTGTATTACCATCTCTGCCTTTTTCTATTTGACCTTATTCAAGTATTTAATATCACTATGCACCATTCTCATATAAGGCTGTTTTGAGGAAAACTGTATTTTATAAATGCATATTACAGAAAAAGTTTTAAACAAAATTGTACTTTGTTATTTATAACAAAAGCTCAAAATCAAGGAGATGAAATATGATAGACATTAGTACCATTAGCCAAATATTTCTTGCTCTCCGCCATCCAGGCAGTTTCTGGCCCTCTTGGGTGGCGCTGGGGGAAGGTGGGGCACCTTCGAGGAGTTAAGGTCAATGGATTGTGTGGAGCTGACAGGGTTTCTGATTTGGAGCATTCAGTGTTCCTGTCGAACACCTTCTGTTCCTGTCACTATTTAACTAGATATGAATAAATGAAAGGGGGCAAAGAGAGTTAGACATTGAGTTTAATAAACCGGGGAAGCATAAGTCTGTCAGCACCACCAAAAAGCTGTAGCTTCACACTCGAGAGGACCACAGCATTTCTCCACCAAGGGAATTAATACTCCTTCCTTTCCCATCCAGTACTGGATAGTTGAGGTGGGGGGAGGCGCTGGACCAAAGAGGCCTGTCAGTATAACTAAGGAGTAGGCCAACCCAAAGCCAGCAGAAAGCTTGGGAAGCTGATCGGTCCTTTTGAAAAGACACTGGTCTGTACCAAGTCCACGCTAATATAGCCCCAGGGGAGCAAAGAAGCTCTCTTTCTCTAGCCAATAATGTACTTGCTCTGTGTACTAACATGTTCCCTCTCCATGTCGGTGCAGATTCCACATGCAGGCTACAGGAGGAAGCCAGAATCCTGAAGTATAGCAATGGACTGCATCTTGAAACACGTGCCAAGCCAGCCAGATGCTGGGACAGAAACTCTGGACAGTGGCCTCTATCCTGGGCCTGCTGAAAACAAGATTAGATCTTTTCCATGGCAAGACAAATGAAATGGTGCATTGGGAAGTCAGAAGAGAAACCTCCTTAATTTTATATTATCAATAAAGTTCACCACAGAACCCCATCCTCCCATGTAGTTCTCTGGAAATTCATTTCATTGTGATACCATAAGAACTCGTCTTTCATGGATATAACATTTCTAAGGGCCACTTCCCTCTGCCATTGCAACCAACAATGTTCCAGACAGTGGCTGCTCCTTCATTCTGGGTCCCTAAGTGACTATGAATAGCAGAATCCTGCTGCGATTCATGATGGCTATATAGCATGAGCAAGCAACAAATTCTGTTGTTTTCAGTTACTGATATTGTTTATTACTGTATCTTGAGCTACCATAACCTAGCTTATCACAACTGATACAGACTGCAGCTCCAACTCAAAATTATTTGGTTGAATTAAGCAGAGAATGTAAGTTCCCATAAAAATAGTGTTATTCTTTTTTAAAGATTTTACAGTGCATTGGAGAAGCCTATGAATAGCCAGTTTTTAAAAAATAATAATGAAAACACTTGGTCCACCTATAAAGCAACATATAAACACATTAGAGTTAATATTGTACACTTTGTGGGAAATAGTACAGAATGACATTGTGAAAATTATGCCTTCGATAATCTAAATATCAGTGTTTATTGCCAAGTAGTATCTGCTAATATACTGCTATTAGGATGTGGCAGAAACAGGCCAAAAATTCCCCTGTCATTTTCATAAAAAATATTCAGTACTTTTCTTGTCAGTAGAATGAAATGAATATACAAATAACTAGTTTTATATAAGCAAATAAACAACAGAAAATGCATGCAGTATTAAAAATTACCATTGTCTTTGAAACTGTAATATCAGAAATGTGTATACTTTTGACCTGATGAAAATGATCTGATTTTTGAAACTAATTTTTTTATTCCAAGTCTCATGTAGATTAAAGTTGAGAATCTCAAGGTAATATTGTAAGAGATGATGAAAGGCACATTTGTCACTGTTTGTCAGGCAACCAAAGCATGAGTTATTGGTATGCACAAACACACTTCCCTTTTTTGTACACAGTATGGGTGTGGGTGTAGGTGCTGAATTGCTTTTCTATTGGTTTGTTCCTCTTTCAATGGCAGAAAAGAAAGTATTCTAAGGTAATTAGCATACTCTGGGAAAGTACCCAAATATGTTCCCCTACCCTCCCACTGCAGTTTTAAATAAAGACTTTAGAAACAGAGTTAGCAGTATACCAGTTAAAGTTACATTGGCTTTGGGTAATCTAGATTGTATATACAAAAATATTCCAGGAAACGTTTTAAAAATTTAAGCAGACTAATAGCACATAATGGTTATGCTATGAAAAGTAAGCAAAAAAGAAAGATCAGTTTTGTTACACATACTTTAATATAAAGAAAATAGAATTCACAGTCCTCCAAGGTCGAAACCCAATTTTCTCAGGTTACAAAGGGCAACAAAAACGGTGTTCCCTACCCCCACCCAACCTTGTACATATCATAGGGAAGGGGCCAGAAACTAGAACCCAGGAGAAGGCAGAATTACAACAAAAGAACAAAAGGAAAGGGGACAAAGAGAGGGATATCAGCCTGCCCACGTGAGGGACCACTGCGTGGCCTGACATGTAACCCAGTGAAACTAATAAGGAAACAGGTACTTGGTGCTCTTTGCTCATGCACTGTGTATATCGGCATAACGAAAGGATGCAAACTATTTTCTACCTGTTCTCTCTTTCTCTGGTTCCTCCTTCCTCCTAATTCTATACCCACCGATACTTTTTTTCATTTTACAGTATTGTTTCACAACACTTCATTAGCTCTCTACTTCCAAAAGAGGGGGAAAAATCCAAAATTTGTAAGGCTGGTAGTCAAACATTCCCATGGACTGCTCAACCTTATAACCAACTACTTTCCTAATCAGACCCTCATTCCAGCCACCTTTGTCATTTCCTAAATGTGCCATGAGCCTTCTTGCCTCCTTGTTTAGTCACCTCTTTGCATGGCAAATCTTAATATTTCTTTTTTCAGCTGTCTTAAATCTTCAGAATTAGGAGGGTTAAAGTGAAGGGTTGCTTGTGCTCTTATTGAAGAAGCACGATAGAGTATCACTTTGTACTGTAAACAAAAATAATAATTGCTACCTGTATTATGGTTCTCCAGAGGGTTGCATGTGTGAGTGGTGAGAGAGACAAGTATGTAAGGGATTGGCTCATGAGATGTGGGGCTGGCAAGTCGGAATTTGAAGTGAGGGAACAGGGGAACAGACCATGTATATATCTGAAGGAAAAGTGTTCTGGTAGAGGAAGGGGCAAGCACAAAGGCCTTGCAGCAGAGTAGCAGGCGGGAGACTTGGGAAGAGATGATGTTATTGTTCAGGTCTCAATACAGCCTAGAGGCAGAATCCCTTCCTCTGCTTCTCTTTTTCTCTCAAGGCTTTTAACTGATTGAATGAGGCCCATCCACACTATGGGAGGTAATATGCTTTACTCAAAGTCTGATATCAGTGTTAACTCCATCTAAAAATAACTTCACTGAGACATCTAAACTGATATTTGACCAAATGTGTGGGTAGATTGGCCTGGTAAAACTGCCATAAAATTGACCACCACCTTAACCTGTACAAATGATTACTCGGGCCAGGCACAGTTGTAAATGCTTTACGTATGATGTCTGTCTGGAAACACTTCAGGCAGTGTTAATGTAATGAGAGCAGTTTGTATGACATCGATGTAACTTGGCAGCCAAGGAGAGTGTACCAGAATGCGCATGTGTGAACAACGATGATTTCACTATTAGTCATGGGAGCAGCAGACACTCTTGTACTGTGTGGCCATCACATTCAAAATAACTGAGTGAGTAGAGCAATGAATTTGCATCAAATTTTGAGTTAAGTTTGAACATTCCTCCATGGAAACTATTTAGATAATTCAGAAGGCTTTTGGAGACAATGCAATGAGTACAGTGCAAATAAAAACATGTGGCACAAATGCTTCAAAGATGGTCAAGAATCTGTTGAAAGTGATCCACGTTCCAGAAGGCCTGCAACAATCAGAACACCTGAGAATATTGAACATGTTGATGGGCTACAATCAACAAAGATCGGAGACTGGCAGTGTGAGAACTAGGAACTGATCTGGGGATTCCAAAAACTACTGTGTCTGAGATTTTGACACAGGATCTTGGCATAAAATGTATCATGGCACAGTTTCTGCTACCACAGCAGAAGGAACGTTGTGCTGCAGTTGCTAATGACTTGATTCAAACCACCACCAATGAACCAGACTTCCTGAAGAAGGTCATAGCTGAAGATGAGTCATAGGTCTATGTCTATGATCCCAAATGAAGACTCAGTCATCCCAATAAAGGTCATCTGGTTTTCATGACTGAAGAAGGCATGGAAAAAGGTGCAGTAAGATCAAGACCATGTTAGCTGTATTTTTTGATTGGGAAGGTGTTGTCCATCACGAGTACACCCCTCTAGGCCAAATAATTAATAAAGAGTACTACCTCAGTGTTCTTAGTCGGTTGAAAGATGAAATAAGATGAAAATAGTCGCAGCTATAGACAACTGGTAATTGGCAGCTTCATCAAAACATGCCCATTCATGTGTCACATCTCGTGCAGAGTTTTTTGGCGAAACATCAAATCACCCAGGTGACTTAGTCCCCTTACAGCCAGATTTGGTGCCCTTCGACTTCTGGCTTTTCCCAGAACTAAAAATCACCTTTGAAAGGGAAGAGATTTCATACTATCAATAAGATTCACGAAAATACGATGGGGCAGCCGACGGTACTTCTGACAAAAGATTTTGCAGAGAGTTTTGAACAGTGGAAAAGACACGAGGAGAAGTATGTGAGGTCCCAAGGTGTCTACTTTGAATGGGACTGAGGCATCATTGTTCTAGGTACAGTATTTCTTGTAATCGGTATCTTCTTCAATAAATGTCTCTATTTTTCATATTACATGGCTAGATACTTATATTAACTCAGTAATTTTTTAAATGGGGAGTAATTTTAAAATTTTATTTATTTATTTTTAGAGAGAGGGGAAGAGAGGGAGGAAAAAGGGAGAGAAACATCCATTTGTGAGAGAAACATCCATCGGCTGCCTCTCACATGCCCCCTACTGGGGACCTGGCCTGAAACCCAGGCATGTGCCCTGACTAGGAATTGAACCTGTGATCTTTTGGATCACAGGCCAGCATTCAATCCACACCAGCCACAGCTAACTCAGTAATCTTAACAACCATATGAGATAGGATTATTATTACCATCTTCATTTTACAGGTGAAGCACAGAGAGAGTAAGTAGCTTGCCTGAAATCATAAAAATGTGTAAATGATGGCTCTGGGACTTGAGTCCTTCCACCTGGCTCCAGAGTTTATGTTTTTAAATACTGTACTATTTTGAATAATGTACTCTCAAGGAAAAAAAAAAGAAAGCTGAACTCAGTGATACTTTATGTTCTTTCCACTGCCCCACAGACACCTTTGTTTGCCTGCCATGAACAGCTGTCAGATGTCGACTTACATATGTCCATGCAATGGCTCTTTGGTGTAGGTAGTATTATCCCTGTTTCACAGACAAGGGAATTTGGACACACAGAGCAGTGAATGGCTACACAATAATATGTGGAATATAAGGGATTTAAAACCAGAACCCTCAACCCTCAAGGAATGTGAAGATGTTTCTGCTCATCTCTGTTTCAAACACTCTAAATTACTTTTTAAAAATTTGGTTGTTTCTTTTGATGTGTTCCACAAGTGAGATAAATTTATGATTGGTTCATGTACCAATAATAAACATAGATTGCAGCTAAAAAATTGAAAAAAGATAATTTCATGTTTCATCAGGTGGAGATTAAATAGTATCATCTGTGGGGGGCCTGCGTGTTTAGAGAAAATGTAAGGGGAGAACCCCCTCACTCTGGAGGATGAGGGTGGCAGAAAGTGAGCAATAGGAACAAATTACAGACTGACCCTGAGAGGTCAATGTGCAAATGACCATTCCAGCCTCCGTTTAGAGCAGTGCCAGCCCTGATATTGTCAGTGATCTTTGTCGCTACCAATCTAAGTCTCTTG